GGATAGAATCCTCTGCAAACGAAGTATTTCTGCTCCATTTCGTTTACAGAAGATCTAATATAACATTTTAAAACAATTAAGTTCCAACAAAATTCTCAAAGTTAATAATTAACAGGATATGAACATAACTTGTTATGTCATATAGCATTCTTAATCGTTGTTTGTTTTTACAAATTTCGGCAGAGCACAAGTGGGTTATTTGAGAGGTTATATAGTGCGTCAATATAAAGATAGGTATCGCGAATGTTTTACGCTAGATATGTCACACTTACTGTTAATTTATGACATAGTAATATAACATCCGGATACTTTCGCATGCGGGTAACGGCTGAGTCAACTGCTAATTCGGGTACTCCGAAGGTAAAGAACGTTTGCTTTATAATCACTTATGGTCAATGTGACATTTCACATCTTTCTAGAGCACAATTTGCAGATATAATTGTCGACGCGTGGGTAGGAAAAAGCACTAAGTAGGTGGGAATGTCGGAGGGTCATGGAATGGGCGGTAGTCACTTCCACACGGCAAAAAAATTGTCCACAAGATCGAGGTGGCGAGCTATCGGAAAGCTCGAGAAGAGTAAATGTGGCACTTAATTGAACCTTTCCGCAGACAATCTCAAAAATTACAATTCAGCGTATTCGTACATGGTAAATTAAAGGAAGACCCGGTCTTGGTGATTTCTCCAGGGCTTATAGACCTCCCCAATGCTGACGCGTTAGCGAGTACTAGCGCGACCCGCCGAAGCAAGAAAGTTGCACAGGCTTCCAAAAATATGTAACGAAAGGGACTCGCAGTATATGGCGTTGTACGCATTATACTACACTGACGTTAGTGTTATACGCTAATTATGCTAATAAGCGTTTCCGGACCAGACGAATGCAATGAAACTAACATCGGTTGACACTTCGATTGTCACTGTAGAAATATGAAATAACAGGCAACTAGACATCTTTTAAAACAGAACAACGCTAAGAATAATCTGTTGAGAATGTCTAACAATGTATTTGCTATTAATGAAAGGGTTTGAAATTGATTAAACCAAGTTTTAGATCGATTGACACTTTTTTACATAAATAAATCCGATATCAGTATCATATGATATTTCTAGAGTTGAGTGTCAATCGATACATTTTATACAATTTATATACTTTGTGATTAAGTAGAACCCGTAATATATCAATAAGCGCTCCCTACACACGTTTGCTTAGTACTTAATGTTCTAAAAATAATTATGCCGCGACAATTGAAAGTTATATCAATGAAAATGCTATGTGTTTCAAAGTAACAACCGAGCACGTGTTCAAGCCGTTTTATATTACATACATGTTTTCATGTCAAATATGCACAATCTTTAAGTGGTCTTCGATAACTTACCTTTGCATTTTATTTAGCATTAACTTAGATCGATAATTAACCAGATAGATGTGTTTTCTGCCTTGTATATAGACCATGCAGGTTTAATCGCTCGTCATACTACCCTCCCCACACTCACATCTTTCAGTATAAGCTCATTTATAATACACTGCTGGATTGTGTTACATTTCAAAGATATTGACCACAACCGAAGCACAGTAAGGACGTTACATATACCAATGCAATTCAGTAAACATGTTATACTAAATGCTATATGATTTTCGCGAAACTGATATTCGAAAACTATGGCGTCATATTTCCGCCAAAATTAAAGATCGTATTTGCAACATTATAGTTCGTATTCGCAACATTATAGTTCGTATTCGCAACATTATAGTTCGTATTCCCAACATTATAGTTCGTATTCGCAACATTATAGTTCGTATTCGCAACATTATAGTTCGTATTCGCGACATTATAGTTCGTATTCCCAACATTATAGTTCATATTCCCAACATTATAGTTCGTATTCCCAACATTATAGTTCGTATTTCCAACATTATAGTTCGTATTCCCAACATTATAGTTCGTATTCGCAAGTTGAATTTTGGCGGATGAAGGTGTCAAATCTCCGCCAAAATTCAAGTTTGTAAATTAAAGTTCATATTTGGAAAAATTCGCTACAAGTGGAAACACTGAAAAGCAACAGCCTTGGGGCTTTGGGCTCTCTCATCCAGCTGCGATTTTATACTGTTATCTTTTGGCAGTTTGCCTATTAAAATGAATCAAGACGATATAAATACGGCGAGGGTTGAGGGAATCGCTTTTGCAGGTGGCAGATTGCCTATACGTGTGATTTAGGCCCCAGTTAAGCCTGTTTCCACTAGCGAATTTTTTTGCGCGTAGTGAATTTTCTATTGTTTAAATTAAAAAGAATTGATTAAAAATGTAATTAGTTCCAGCCAAGAGCTCATAATACAAAAGATTCGCGCGAACAAATTCGCTAGTGGAAAACAGGCTTTACACGGTACCAGATGAATCCACCATGAATTCACCCACAGACCCCCACGTTTCGGCAAAAACACATATAACTATGCAGCCCTATTTTCGGAACAGACTATTGCGGAATTTTCGGGTAAGCGAAATTCTACATTTGCTCTATCTTTATGATATTGAGCACTCTTTGCGTTTCGTATACACAAACCTACTCGTATATATATTTATTATATAAAGTATATAGTGCTTTATAGAGATTATTCATGATAATCTCACATGTGAAAATTATCGCTTTTCAATTATCGCTTTTCTGTAAAAATTATCGCTTTTCAAAGACTGTCCTTTATATAATAAACAGAAAAATACATGGGTGCTTGGAAATATACCATATTTATTTCTCGTGTTGAACATGATATCTCACTCGTTCGCTGTGCTCACTCGTGAGATATCATGTTCAACACTCGAAATAAATCTCGTATTTCCGCGCACCTATGTATTATTCTTGATGTATATATATAAGAGCTAGTGCTCAATATCATAAAGATAGAGCAAATGTAGAATTTCGCTTACCCGAAAATTCCGCAACAGTCTGTTCCGAAAATAGAGCTGCTTATATGTGTTTTTGCCGAAACGTGGGGGTCTGTGGGTGAATTCATGGTGGATTCATCTGGTACCGTGTAAAGCCTGTTTTCCACTAGCGAATTTGTTCGCGCGAATCTTTTGTATTATGAGCTCTTGGCTGGAACTAATTAGATTTTTAATCAATTCTTTTTTATTTAAACAATAGAAAATTCACTATACGCGCGAAGAAATTCGCTAGTGGAAAACAGGCTTAACTGGGGCCTAAATCACACGTATAGGCAATCTGCCACCTGCAAAAGCTATTCCCTCAACCCTCGCCGTATTTATATCGTCTTGATTCATTTTAATGAGGCCCGTTTCAGACGGCGTACTCTTCATGTGCCGAAATTAATTGTATTAGGCTGCGTCCAGACTGGGTGCCCGGCACTTGTTTTGGCTCCCAGTTTGAACACGACGCTTTCAAATGAAATTGGGCACAGTGCCCAAGAACGGGCACTACCTCTAGAGGTAGTACTCAACAACGGCACTGTACTCAACATGTTTTGTGAACCATTTTGAACATCGGGCACCAGTGCCGGCACTCAGTCTGAACGAGCCCTTAGATGCGACACAAGAACGGCAGTGATTCAAACGGCGTACCAAATACAATGTTATTGACAAGGTTGGGCCGCATTCGCCAGCGAAACCTCAATAAAATTCAAAACAAATAAGTTTATTTTTAGACTAAAGTTGAGTTAAGTTTGGCACATGAGTGGAGCGGCGTATGAATCAATGTCGCTCCAACGTCGCATAATGCGACAAGCTCTGCCGAACTTGTGTCGAACTTTTGCCGCTCCAAATTCTGCCGTACTTAATTGATTCATACGCCGCTCTTCTGCCGTACCTAATTCATCCGAATTAAGTTCCGCACATGAAGAGTACGCCGTCTGAAACGGGCCTCACGAGAGAACCCAAACCCCCAAGCACTGTTGCTTTTCAGTGTTTCCACTTGTAGCGAATTTTTCCAAATATGAACTTTAATTTACAAACTTGAATTTTGGCGGAGATTTGACACCTTCATGCGCCAAAATTCAACTTGCGAATATGAACTATAATGTTGGGAATACGAACTATAATGTTGGGAATACGAACTATAATGTTGCGAATACGAACTATAATGTTGCGAATACGAACTATAATGTTGCGAATACGAACTATAATGTTGCGAATACGAACTATAATGTTGCGAATACGAACTATAATGTTGCGAATACGAACTATAATGTTGCGAATACGAACTATAATGTTGCGAATACGAACTATAATGTTGCGAATACAAACTATAATGTTGCGAATACGAACTATAATGTTGCGAATACGAACTATAATGTTGCGAATACGAACTATAATGTTGCGAATACGAACTATAATGTTGCGAATACGAACTATAGTTGCGAATACAAACTATAATGTTGCGAATACGAACTATAATGTTGCAAATACGATCTTTAATTTTGGCGGAAATATGACGCCATACAAGCGTTCTATTGATATTGGACTTTATATTAGCAATAAGCAGTTGTTGTTTTGAAAGCAGTTGATTACGTAAGTTGATTCGGCAATAGCTGCATAAATCCCTGCTAGGATTATAGTGCAACCTGTTTTTCACTAGTGCAAAAACTATAGAAATGAAATGTTTCATTTAATTAGCATAAACTGCAGAATTGGTTGGATATAATTAGAACGTTTGGTAGAGTCACATTACAAGCGCTTTTCTGAATCTCACCGTCTGATAAAAGACGTCAATGTAGTCTCGTAGTAATTTTGCAGTGACGATTTTTGATGCAACGATTGCACGTACGGACTGACATCGAAAATCCGCCATATTGGACATCGTTTCAACATCCAGTCTAAACGCCGATTTAAACTACACAATTTTTGCCTAAAACTGTCGCGTGCAACCTGCTTACAACTTGAGTTGTACTGTGTAAAGTCAAGCACACAACTCACTTACGTTGTCATAGGTGAGTTGTGTGTTTGATTTACACAGTACAACTCAAGTTGTAAGCAAGTTGCATGTGACAGTTTTAGACAAAAGTTGTACGTAGTATAAATTGGCGTTTAGAATTCTTCAGTACTTTACCGACCTCGTATATTTTTTAAACAATGGAACGCTCGAGTAGCTATTATGCTAAAATAAGGTAACAATTAATAAGGTAAACTGTTTTTTATCATTATCCAATTTACAGACATGCACAATTAGTGTTTTCAACCTAATTATTGATTCTGAAATGAACTTTAATTAGACTGAATATGGCCCTCTAAATTGCTCTCTCTGTAGGTCCAGTATATTATATGAGAAAGCTGTGGATTGATTGGGAATGCAATTACCTGAAAAATACAAGGAGAACTTCGATGTTTCGAGCGAATTAGGCCCTTCGTCGTCGTCGGGCTTCTTATTATTTCCACTACCTACAATGGTACAGACCTTTCGAGATTATATCCCAGTATTAAATGGGCTCCCCTATTCATGCAGTGTGCAGTAAGATGAGAAAAATTGTTCTGGGCTCTGCGGCTTTTAAATGTTTGAAAACGCCGTTATACTAGTTGGTCTGCGTGAATCATGCCGTTTGTCAGTTTTTGTCGCGAAGTACTGTCCATTGCTAACACAAGGTCTGTTTAATTTAGACCGACTTGAGGCTCGCTTTTGTTAAAACCGACATCAGTAAAGCTAAGATATCCTAGTATAGACTATAGTGGTGCACTGAGTCTTTTCAATTCCTTACCTAGTGATCTAAAAACTATTGAAAATGATACGTTTTCATCTTTTACAATAAAACTTAAAGAGTTTTTTCACCAATCGACCCACAAAGTCGGTACAACATGTGGATGAAATTTCCTGCGCTATATGCAAACATGTTGGGCTTTGCCAATGCTTTGATAACAGGTACATGTACACTCATATACATAGTTATATATAATATCCTTATGAGGGACATAGGGAAAAATACATTAGTGGCAACTATGAACTGAATATTGTTTGTTTTCCCCCTCTTTAAATAAAGTATTAACTATATCAAAAGAGTCAAAACAATTCCGAAAAGAGTCCTTCTGGCTGGGGTCAAGTTGACCCCAGAACCGGCTCCTTGATCGGAGTTGTTATGACTCTTTTTTGGAGTCGTTTTTTACACACTGTAAATTCCGGGGGAAAATATTCAAAAGAGACTAACTAACCCGAAAACTATTAAAACTAGATTAAAACTTCGAGCCGTATGACAGAAGATTCAACTTCCAGTTCACAGTTAAAACTAATTTAGAAGTTTTTGAAGTAATTAATTTTCCAGAGTGTTCGTGTTGGCGCTGATCACTGTTGGAGACTGTTGTATAAACTATGACTAGACTAACTATTTTTTGGACTAAATTGGCCCATCAGTTCTATCTCAACTGTTCTCCTTGGAAGTGCAGGGCTGTTATGAAGACATGTATTACGTATACTCATATATTGATCCTGTAGAATAATACCGACTACAGAAGGAAACCTGGTAAAGAAATCGAACTGAAAACATTTTCCCTATTAAAATGATCAGACATTCTGGCTGGAATCAAACGCTGACCCGATTAAGATACTGAAACAAACAAACAAACTTTGATCACTAGATTGCATTGATATCGAAGGAACTAGACTCAGTTCCGAAATATCACATACTCGAATCGACCTGACCACGTAGCTCAGTTGGCAGAGCATTGGGCTAGTATTCCAAAGGTCGTAGGTTCGATTCCCACCGTGGCCAGGCATATTTTTCAAGCTTGCCCGGTGTGGATTTACACTCAGAGTAACATCACAAACCGCATCATATTCACCTGAGTACATAATACCAACATAGAAAAAAAAACTTTATGCAATACAGCATGTTAAAGAATATAGAACATATTATGATATAAATTTGCAGAGAGACTAGATTAAAAATTGGAATAGCTATATACTAATGTCCCACAGATTTGTCTTTCTTTGCAATAACATGCATGCATAAATAAGTCATGATTATTATAAGAACGAAACGAGCAATTTATTTGGCTCTCTCATGATTTAGTAATGAATGCGTCCCCGCGTGAAAAAGTCAGTCGCACAAAATTTTACAGTGAATCGAAATCAACCCTCAGTGGTTTTTTTTTCTTTAATATTTTGAATGGAAGACAATCTTTTCCACCGCCACTGGGAAACGTTTTAACTCGCCTCATTTAAACTCCCCTTCAGACAATGCACTGA